TCGGCGTGTGGGTCTGCCGGTTCCCCGGCTCTCTGTCCCTGGGAAGGTACACACATGCGTGTGCGGTGAAAGGGGTGCCCTTTGCGGGGGGGGGGGGGGGGGGGGGGGGGGGGCGAGAGTGGATACGGTGTCTGCGTCGTCTCTGCCGGTGGGGGGCCGACCCACGGCCGCAGGGGGAGGGCATCACGCCGACACGCGCGGGAGAAGCCCCCCTGCTGTTGGTTCCTCGGGCCGGGTGTGTTTGTCTCTTCACCGTGTCCGTCCCTGTGCGGGGTCCCCCCCTGGCACTTGGTTCCCTGGCCGCGGGGTCGCGATGTCCCCTGTGGTGCGCCGATCGGCTGTCGGGATCCGGCCAATTTCCCTGGCCCCCGGTGGCGGGGAAGATGGTCTGCGGGTTCGGGGGGTTCCCGTCCTGGCGGGCGGTGGCCACCGGTTGTCCGTTTGCCATTCACAAATACGCGGGGCACTTTGCAAAAGCTTCGCGCGGCCCGTCTCACCGCAGGGCGGGCCAACACGGCGTGGCTTTTCCCCGTGAGGGTCTCTCCTGGCCTTTCGGAAGGCGGACAGATGTTGCGGTGGTGTGTTATTGCGATCCGTCGTGGCCCCCACGTTGCCCCTCTCGACACTTCCTCCCCGGGGGCCGTTGGTGTCCGATGGCGAGCGGGGAAGGCGCATCCCGAGCCGCGCCGGCCCTGGCCCCGGGCAATTCTCCGGATAGCCGGCGGAACCCCTTCTCCCGAGTATGGTGTTGGGTGTTTCTGTGTGCGTGTGCGGGGGGCATTTTCTTTTGCATCCCCGCCGAGTTGGGGGGGGACTGCCTGTTGCGCGAGGCAGCTCTCCTGGTCGTGGGCCGGTGCGACGGCGTGCGGTGGTTTGGCGGCGCCGGGAGCATGATTGTCCTGTGGGTTTCTGCGGGAGGAAAAGCAGCAGCCAAATCCTGTCTTCTGGCAAGGGGAGGGTGCGCTGAAGTCGTGCCGGGTCTCTCTCTCTCTCTCTCTCCCTCCTCATCATGGGTGCGGTCCCCGCTCGCTCCTCCGTCCCTGGCCCTTGGGTTCGTCTTTTCGCGAGTGCCACCTTTTGGCCTGGGCCTCCCTTGGCCGGCTGGCTCGTGGTGCTTGCTTCTCTCCCAGCCTTCCTCTGTGCATGTCCTTGCGAGGCAGTGGGTCTCGGCTGTGGCCGTGCCAGGCACCTGACAAGACCGACGCCAAAACTAGTCACTCGGCCTCCTCGCCCCGAAAAAATGGAGCCAGGTGGGGTTCTCCCTCTCTTGCCCGTGGCCGAAGTTCACGCCCTCGGCGGAGGCGGGCAGGCTGGTGACACAGGCCAGCCCCTCGATCTGCCCCCGCTGGTGCTGATCCGCGTGCTGGCCATCGGACGCCCCTTCGCCGGGTTTTTCCGCTCTTTCACTGCACTCGCGCACCGGGCCATGGTATCGGCACGCCGGCACCGGTGCACGAGGACATTCCCGGAGATCCTCGTGGATGCGTGTGCCGGTCATCTTCCCCGGTCATCACTGGGGCTGGGCTTGGGGGGCAGGGGGATCGTGCTCTCGGCTGCTATGGGGTTATGGCCGCCCGGGCGAAGCCGGTGCGTGTTCCCCGGCGAGCCACTCATACCTTTTGGTTTACTTGCGCGTTGCTTCTCCGGGCGGCCGGGGCAGCTGGCGACCGTGGTGGCTGCGCCATGGCGCATCGGGGTGCACATGCGGGGCTGTGCCGGCCGCCAGGAGGCGGTGTGGCTGCGGGCGGCGGATGCGCGTCGGCTGCCCGGGGCCCATTCGCGGCAGGCGCACGACTCCGGCGTGAGCCGTGTCCCCCGGAGCGGCGCGGCCGTCCGGGCACCCCGGGCCGTGACCTCTCGCACCGGGGCGGACTTCACAGCCCGGCCTCCCTTCCCTGCCGCCGGTCGGAGGAGGCGAGGCGCTTTTTTTTGCCGGCAAGGTCGCCGGTGCATGGGCTGGAGGCCGCGATCCAAGACCCGGGTCTGGGAAGCTGCATGTCGGCCGCCTGGCGCCTCCCTGGGGGGCGAGCAGCTGGCCGGCCCGACGTGGGGGCGTTTCTGGGTGCTTCGAACTCGGGCGGCTTGTCCGGGTGGCGGGCGGGCTGTCCTCGCGCGTCTGCTGCCTGCTGTGCCACCGGCTACCGGGGGCCTTGCCTAAGGAGACTCCGGGAGCGGGGCCCGGGTGCTTGTGTCGGGCGGCCGGCCAGCGCCCGGCGTCACTGTCCCTCCAGGTGGCGGCGGGCCTGGGCCACATTCGGCCGACCGGGCGTTCGAGCCGGGGCATCTACCGAGGACCCGCCGGCACAACGCGTGGGCGCCTCGTCTGCCGGCCGGGTGTTGCGGGGGCACACGGCGAGGGTGCTCTCGCGGGCGGGCCCGCTGAGGTGCTTGGCTGTTCCTCTGGCGGCCTGCCTGCCGGGGGGGGTCTGTCAGCCGGTGATGAGGCTGTGGTGGGCCTCCGCATCCGGACGCGGGTCGAATGCTGGATGGTCTGCTGCACCGCCCCGCCTTTTGGCCGATCTCCCCGGCGGTGTGTGTCCATCCAAGAGCTGCGCGGCGGACGGCCTCGGCCCCTCTTTATTTCGTTCTGGCACTGCCGCGCGGCGGGATGCTGCGGGGCGGCACATGGGTGTGGCTGCCGGTCGGTTTTGTCGGCGAGCGCCCCATGTGGTGGTGTCCGTTCGTCCGGGCATGGCCGGGGCCGCCTCACCGAGGGTATGTCGGTGCGCGAAGAGATTGCCGCAGAGGGCGGCCGAGGCTCGGGCCAGTCCCAGGCGCAGGGCGACACACGAGGTCATGGCCGGCGGGCGTGCCTGTGGGCTTTCCGTCTCGGCCCTCGCCCTCCGGGCGGGCCATGCGCTCGCCGCACCAAGCGCTGGGCTGGTCTCCGGCTCGTGCGCGGCCACGGACGGGGGCCATGTCGGGAGCCGGAGGCCTCCGAGCTCGGGGGATCTTGCCAACATACCACCGCCGCAGGGGGTGGGCATGCGCCGGCCGGCGTCACAATGCCAGGCTGCTGAAAGGCGCGCATCGCGTGGCCCATCTGCCGGCCGGGTCGGCGGGGTGCGCCGCGGCCGTGTCCCACACGTGTGTTTGCGTGCACACAGAGGGCCGAGCCCTCAGGCGCCTGCGCCTCGGGGGGGAGGAGAGGGCGGCAGAAAGGGGGGGGCAGGGGAGAGGGGACATGGCCCTGGAGGTACGTGCCCGCAAGGGGAGCGGGGCATCCCACCCGGCGCCAAGCCCGGACGGCGAGAAAGGCGCAGGTGCTTCCCCGTGTGTCCGGCGTCCCGGGCAGGCTTGTCCTCTCGTGGGAGAAGCCGCCAGTCAGCATGTGTGCGTAGCATCTTGAGATCTGTGTGTGTGTGGCCCATTCCACCTGGCTGTATCCCTGTCTCAGGTTTGTTCCTTGTTATCGTGTGGTCACTGGGCCCACGCACACCCTCTATCGGCCCTTTCTCCTCACCTCCTCTGTTCTTCCTTGTGTTGCCTTGCAGTGGGGTCTAGCTCCTGCCCTCCATGTGGCCGAGAGGAGCGGCCAGGTCTTGACGCGAGAAGATCCCTGTCATTGGGTGCGCGCGGGCCGGCATGCACCGCCGGGAGCGCCGGACACGCGCGGCGTCGTGCTCCTCCCCGGCTCGCGGGTGTTTTTCCCGGGGCAGCCACAGAAGAAAGAGGCATGGCAATGCAGGCACCCTGACTGGGTCCGAGCCTTTCCGACGCGCTCACACCCATCCAGGGTGCAGGCGGAAGCTCCCTCCCGCCAGGTGGCATCTCCCGAGGCTGGGAGGTGTCCACTTCGCAAACGGCGACTGGGCCCCCATCGGTCGCCCGCCACGCGGGCTGCGGGTGACCGACCGCGACCGCGACTTGCCGGCCCTGCGCCATGCACTTGCCAGGTATGCGGTCCCTGGGGGGAAATGGCCGGATCTAATGCAGCGCGCGTGATCCCGGCCGGGCGGTTCCTCGGCGGAGGCGCAGAGGCAAGACCGCGCAGCGGAGGGGCGAGGCCATGCAGGAGGGTGGATTCCTTTGGCCCTCTCCCCTTCGCGGAGCTCGGATCCCAGCCCCGGGGCATGGGCCAGCGCGCACGGCACTGGATGGCCGAAGTCATGGCCCTGGCTCTGGGATTCCCGCCGGCCGAGGCCGAGGAAGAGCCGGACCGAGCTCCGACTGATGCTGAGGAGGTGGCACCGCGGACACCGTGGGAGGCGTGCCACGCCTGGTCGTCAGCGGGATCCCGTCTCTGCCTGGGTGCTGTGGCAAGTCGGGCTGCCCCGGGCGCGGAGAGCTCGGGAGGTAGGTCACGGCAGGGCACGGATCCACCGGACAGGGGCTGGCGAGTGTCCACCAGGGGTGGCCCATGCGGGACGATGTGGGCGGCCGGGGGGAAAAGGGACAAACCGCGCGGGCAGGCTCAGCAGTGCCCTCTCGAAGCCAGGGGGCTTGCGTCGCCATCGGCGCATCGACCGGCAGGAAGACCCATTTCTCGGGGATGCCGTGCCATGAGACGGGGGACATCCCGGCGGCGAGGAGGAGAGGGCTCACTGGGAAGCGACGAAAGGCCGCCGACCGGGGAGGCATCTGCAAAGCCACACTGCCGCGACCGTGCCATGATTCCCCGATTGCCAACGCTCGGCGGAGTGCCACCCCGGGCCGGCCGATGAATATCAGGATTATTTAATCGGATTATTTCGCGATGGGAGTCGACTCGGCGCATGTTGGTTGAACGGGGTCAGAGAAGGTGGGCGAATGGCGAGGGTGATTTTAGTTGCGCCATGGGAAGCGACCATGGGCCATCTGGGCCCGAGCAGCCAATGTTTCTTACTCGGGCGAATGTTCGCCATCGCCGAGTGCGTCAAACAATAACAAAAGCCCAGCTGGGGTGGTCTCGGCATCGGGCGCCACGTGGGGCGTCCCTCTGTGTGTGTGCAAGCGGGGGCCTCTGATGCTGGTGTTCCCTTCTGGGAAGGAACAAGCCCATGGTGGCACACGGGTCGCCTGCCGGCGGCCAGTGGTGCCGGCTGAGGAAATGAGCGCGTGGGCCGGGGGGACTTGGGGCTTGGCATCTGTGTGGGCTAGCTTGAGTGTATTGGGCCGGATGTGAAGCGGGTGAACGGGGTGATGGGGGGAGTGTTTGCGGGGAGTTCCCGGGGTAGCCCTGGCAGTTTGGTCGCCCGGGCAAGTCGGGAGAAGGGGTCCCAGCTTCGGCGAAGCCCCTGCGCCCCGGCGAGCATCCTTGGCGAACGAGTCGCCAGGGGGCGTGGGCCCCCTCGAAGGCCATCTGCCTGCCACGCGGGCCACGTGTCGCCCGACGGGGCGCAGGGGCTTCGCCGAAGCCGGGACCCCTTCTCCCGACGTGCCTGGGAGGCGGGGTGTGCGATGGGCCCATGCGGCTGCTCTGTCCCGCCGAGGGGGCCATTTGTGAACGCGGCGATCCAGCGCACTGGCACCGGGTTCGTTGCT